AAAAAAATTTCCCACTGCTTCTTTGGGAACTACTGTGCGAGTTCCTATTCCTGACGTCGACAAGGGGCGAGGTGATTCGCGCAATATATTGGCAATTGTAATGAGTGTGACAGAGGATGGTTTCTACCGACTTGGAACTTCTGAAGGAATTTTAAAACAAGTATATGCGAGATCACAATTCACTCCATGCCCCAAGAACTTGCTTAGAATTGAAGATATTCCTGACCATGAAATTCCTCTCCGGTCAGTTGCAATTGCTCAGTCCAGTGGAAGCGGCCAAGGATTCGTCAAATGTATGTGTAAAACAAAGTGCCAAAATATGAAATGTCTTTGCGTGAAAAATGTAATGAAATGTAATTCAAAATGTCATTCAAGCCTACCATGTTGCAACAAGTAGGTTAATTGTAATTTTTTATATGAAAATTTTGTTTCCCTTAATAAGAAAGGCATAAATTTTGTTTTGTACAACTTTCATTTTTCTTTACGTATTTTGAATAAATTTTTTTAATGGCACTCTCATTATTTTTTCAGAATAACATTTGTATTTTTGAGGAATGCACGTCATTTATATAATAGCCTTATCAGAACCTTTTTTCATACTTTGCCTAAATAGCATTTGTCATTCTATAGAATGCCTAGGTATTATATACAATGCCTAGGGAAAGTATGTAATAATTCTCATATTTCATAGATTGCCTAAAAACGCCAGGCATTATATACAATGCCTAGGTATTCTATAGAATGCCGGCTTTTCATACTTTGCCGGTAACATCAATACTAAACTTTATATTATCAACACTATTGGAATAAAACAGGAGTGTATGGCTTCTTGAATTAATAACAAAGGGTTTGAAATCTAAGCATTTAAGAGCAGCTAAGCATTTAAGCATTTAAGTATTCAAAATTCAGAAAAGTGTTTCGTATAACTAGAATATTCAAAGATATTTTATAAAACTCTTTAAAATAAAAACTGTTACAAGAAATCCTGTTAATTTGAACTTGGATAGTTTGAAATCCCGTTAGTTTGTAACTGTACTTTTGTTCCGGTCGGGGATATAGAGATCTAGATGTTAAAAAATTCGGTTAGTTCAAAATACGGCTACTTTGAAATTCGAAGTGAAAATTTTGTCATATTCTTATATTAATTAACTTGTTCTTTTAGATCGAAGTATTTCCATACTATAAGAGAACAATTGACCAAGAAGAACCCAATAAACCAAGAAAAGCAAAGCCATATCAGATTAATTAATATGGCTTTAATAAGGCTTTGCTTTTACATTAACACATTTTTGGGTGTCACCCTACACACGGGCTACCCTGTTTTTCTGTTATCTCATAAAATACGGCTGGTTTTTGGGATTGCAAGATTGACTAAAAATAAGAGATTAAGATATTTGTAGACTCTAGGCTACACATTTGGGCGACTTACTACTTTTTGGGTCACTTTAGAATTAATTTGGGTTACATTTCGAGGAATTGTGCTTTACTTTTTAAAAAAAAATCTATCTGGCAACTAGTGAAGATCTCACCGGACACGTGCTGTTTACCTGCAGTTTATTCATATTATTATTATTAATTAACGAAAATAGCGTTTTGTATATGTAGCCATATTCCGTTTCTTTAATAAATTATGTCGACTAAACGGCATTTGGTATATTGTACAGAAATATGTAAATCTCGGATAACTCTGAAACTTGATAATTCGAAGTCGCGATTATTTCGTCTCTCGAAACTAATGAGGATTTCCTGTAATGAGAATTGGAAACCTGTTTGAAGTAGAATTATCACAGTTCATTAACATTTTCATTAGAATTAATGTGTAAAATAATATTTTGAAATCCGTTTTAAAAACTAATATTAACAAATTAACACAAATAAACAGAAAAGTCTTTTTTTTTTTTTAATTTTGATTATATCAATTTTTCACGTTAGGTGTCGCGATATTCATTAAATGTGGTAGTTGATTTCGTCATTAGTAAAATATATTTTTGATTTAAATCATAGAACAAAAGTTTTGTTATAAATTAATAATTAAACGAGTATTATATAAAATTAATGAATATAATTTTATTTAATTTGTACTGTACAATACATTAACTATTAAATTTATTACCCGCAATAATTTTAAATATGGCGGAGAAGAATGAAGAGGAAGAAAGAGTAAATGTTACATTTAATAAATTATTAATATAAAGTTCTTTAGTTTACTGCAGAAAAGTGTAATAATATTTATTGGTTTTAAATTCCAGAACAGTTTTGCTTTGCTTCTGCATAATTATGACAAGGATCAGATCATAAGTAAAATGGATGAATTGTCCAAAGAGTTAAAGTATATTAATGAGAATCTTATGAAATATAGAGGTAAATTATTCATAATTTTATTTTATTATTACATATTTTACAATATTTGCTGTCTTCTCTTCCATCAGCATATAATGAACACCCCCCTTTTTTTTACTCTTTCCACCCTGTGGGCCTCTTATAGCAAGCCCATTATGAGTTCAGCCAGGCCAACAATGGGGTGGCCTGGAGATGAGGAACGGACTACCCCCGAAAAATTACTGGGGATTTTTCGACCCGTCCGGATATGATTCCGGTTTCCTCAGAGTGGTATGACCGCTCGGCCATCCGGGCCATACAATGAACACTAAGTGTGAGAAATTTTAATTTATTCTGAAAAAAAGTACAGATATCCCTGGTATAAGGTCGCTTACACGCTTTCCGATTAAAATTTGCGGATATAATCTTACTTCGTTTATAAATTCTTCCAAAAAGTAAATTTTGCCATAGTTTTCAATTTACATCGATAATGTTTTCGTAGATTGAAGTCCATGTAAAATTTTAGCAGTTCTGGAAGAAACAGAATACAAGAGGAAATAATTAGAAATATATATAGCTAACAGGTAAGCCCGTAGTTGCCCGGGCAAAAAACAAACACAAACATTAAGATTATTAGCTTATTTCTTATTTCTAACCCTTCTATTGTATTACTGTATAGTATTTGATTTATATAACTACAAACGTTATCTTACGTAAGAGTTTATCATACTAAAAGAACAATCTAACACATTTTGAAATTTCTTTAAATTGTGTACAGTAAAGGAATAAAGAGGAATCCATTTTACTTATTTTTAATTAAAAATGTATTAGATTGGTCACTCGGTGTGATATAACCTTTGTAGTTATATAAATCGAATACCATTGAAACAAACATTGAAACGAAAACCATTTAAAAAGTTTGGTCATTTTTGCCTACCATTGTCATGTTTATCGCAATACTCGGATGGAACAAAATGGCACAATTTCATTGGCCAAATAGAAACGGTTGAGACGTGAAATATTTTAATTTTAAAAGATTTTCGTGGAAATTTCATCACTTTTCCGTTTCCAATAAAAATTTTCTTTTTGTCTTTAAAATGTCCTGCCCAATTCTCATTTTTGGATTAAAATGGCCGGAACCTCGCGTGGAAATAGAAAACTTTTTTTTTTTTTTATATGAGAATGAAAACATCGTAGAAAATCGGTTATAAAAAGGTTACATTTTCGGTTGTTTAATGCAGAAAGTAAAAAAGTTCGAAAATTTCACTTTCTGGGATGATCCGTGATGTTAATCTGTTAACATGTTTGAACTTATCAACCCGCAAAATGTTCCTGGGGTTTTACGAACGCCTGAATTCAATCCTGTGTTCCCCAAACCGTATGTCACAGTAAATAAAGCAGATTTTATTACACACCAACCAAATGCCGAAAATCTATCGGGCTAGTTTAAGGCTAATTACTAAATAAATTACGTAACCAATTTGGCTCTAGAGGTAAGCGTTAGGCGCCATCTCTTATTAACATTAATAATTATAAATAAATTAATGAATTTAAATAATTAATTATTTAAATTAATTATTAGCTATATTGTATATCGGGTATAGCGATGTTTGTGTAGATTTTATTCTTAAAACACACTATTGGCCATTAAAATTGGTACATTATGAAGGAAAGCAAATGGCAGAATCATGTTTATTGTATACATGCAGTATAATGGGAGGAACACATGATTAAATTGACAGGTAATTTTGAGGTACATTACAAAGCATCCAGCATGTTGTACCTTTCATGCAAATTTCGCGTTTGTTGCGTGTCACCTTCGTGGTGTACTAATTTTAATGGGCAGCAGTGTAAATTGAGTTTAATATAAAAATGATATAATTTATGAATAAATTGAGTAAAAGGCGATTTGTTTAATTTCATAAAATGCATTAAATTATGTCATTTTTGTTTTCAGTTGAATGTGCTTTGTTAAACGTGGAAGTAGCAACAATGATAGATCCACGCATACTGAATGAAAAAATAACTATGGCTTAAAAAATTTTTAAAGATTTAGAAGAATTTTTTAATCAACAAAAGCTGTAAAATAAAGTAAATACACGTGCAGTTTCTTTATTTAAAAGTTATAAAATATTATTAATAATTATGTTGTTAAGTTATTTTGAATAAACGTAACATTATTCATTAAAAATACATGTTGAAGTAAAACCATAAGTTGCAGTTGTTAAATTCATCTTTTATCTCTATGGTAGCCAACGGTAAATTGAAAGATAACTGATTAAATTTATTCTTATCTTAACAATTTGAATTTTTAGCTTCCGGAATAGGACGAATAACGTTAGAATAAGAAACATGAAAATAATTTCAGTTCTCTTGAAGTTCTATATTTTGTAAGAATAAAATGATTACTTTTTGCGAAAAATTCACTGCAAATGTAACGATAAATCTTCCGTTTTCCGCAAAGTGAATGGCATTGATAATAAAATGAGTTTGATAATTCGGTTTGCAGAAAGATGAGAATTTTACTTTGAGGATTCGCATCTTCCAAAGCTTCCATGTTCTTTTAGATCGAAGTATTTCCATACTATAAGAGAACAATTGACCAAGAAGAACCCAATAAACCAAGAAAAGCAAAGCCATATCAGATTAATTAATATGGCTTTAATAAGGCTTTGCTTTTACATTAACAC